AGGGAGAGGGAGAAAGAGATAGAGACATCAATAATGACAGAGAATCATTAATCGGCTGCCTCCTGCACACGCCCTACTGGGGATCCAGCCCACAACCCAGGCATGTGCCCTGACTGGGAATTGAACTGTGACCTCCTGGTTCATAGGTCAAAGCTCAAGCACTGACCCACACCCACCTGGCACCACTGATTATTTTTAAACTAGAGGCCCGGTGTACAAAATTAGTGCACGGGAGGGGTCCCCTAAGCCCAGCCTGCACCCTCTCCAATCCAGGACCCTTTGGGGGATGTCCAACTGCCGGTTTAGGCCCAATCCGACAGTTGGACATCCCTCTCACAATCCTGGACCGCTGGTTCCTAATTGCTCACCGCCTGCCTGCCTGGTCACCCCTAACTGCCCCCACCACCCCCCCTGCTGGCCTGATCGCCTCTTACTGCCCCCCACCACCAGCCTGGTCGCCCCACGCAGCCTGTTGTTCAGTCGTTTGGTCGTCCCTCACTAACCCCCCTGCCGGCCTGGATGTAGGCAGCCATCTTGTGAGGGCGTGGGGGTTAATTTGCATATTACCTCTTTATTATATAGGATAAAAAATATTGAGGGCTGTATTCTGTGCTGTGCCATGAACTATACTGTGATGTGTCCTTCCTGGGCCTGGACACTGAGAACAACAAAGGTGAGAAGGAGCCATTTTGATGGTGATACCACGAAGACAAGTTAACTGGTTAACTCAACCTTTTCATCTCTAATTGTATTATTTGTAACCTAGTCAATGGAAAAGAGTGTGGCGTGTCTTCACTTGTCTTGAAATTAAATGGTTGCATTTTACACAACCAAACAGATTGAAATGCTGTCGGATAAAAAGAAGAGGAAAGGAAACAATGAGGATGATGTCAGCGCGCTTATCAATGGGAGAGTTAAAGGCTTGCATTCAGGGCTCTCCGGTGGTACGCTGCTCTTTCCGACCAATGTTTTGGAGTGTGTTCAAGCCCAGAAGAAAGAGCAGCAGTCTTCATTAGCCGGAGACAACAGAGGCGTTTTCAGCGGGATTTAATGCTGGGTCGAGACCGCAGCAAGCGTGGAAATAACTGCGGCTGAACTCATTGAACGGATTGGTGCTGTTTACTGCTGTTCAAAATGAAAAGACCCCATTGATTCAAGTTCTCTGCCCCGACTCCCTTCATCAAGTGTGCAAGGAATTGGCATGGCCCTGCAGGCCAAAATGAGTGACAGCATGAAAAAGAGGCACGTGAAGGAAGTGGACTTCCCTGGCAGGAACACCCAGCGCCCGTCAAAGGGAACATTGACTGACCTCGGGGCCGGGCCAGGGGCCACAGCTGTCAGACGAGGCCGAGGGAACACGTGGCTTCTGCGAGGAATCGGTTCCGAGAGAGAATGAAGGCTGGGGCTGGGCCGAGTGGCAGAGAGCTCAGAGTGGTGAAAAGACAGCTGGGTTGGCACGGGAGAGCGCACAGGCCCCCTGAAAGGCAGCCCTGCTGGGAATAAGGGCCACTGTTCCATGGCTGCTGCCCCCGGGCTCCGCCAGCCCTGCCCAGAGGAGGTGGCCATCCCTGTGGGTCAGCTCACCCTAGACTGCAGCACACACGAGTGGAGTTTAAAGGTCTAATCCACCTTTTAAGAGGAGAGGATTACGACAATACGTTTTCATAGGCACATCCTTCAGAAAGACAGCAGGACAAAAGGGGACTCTGTCGTGATGCACAGGAGAGCAACAATCAGGGAACAACATATTAGAAGGAGGAGGAGGAGCTTTAGGGATTGAACTCTTCCTCCCCTACCCACATATCTTACGTAGTAAAAAGGTTATATGCAAATCGACCGAATGGTGGACAACTGGTCACTATGAACAACGCACCTGAACCACCAGGGGGGCA